TGTAAATCGAGTTAAGTGTGTTATTTCCTGTGTCTCTCTGTACCATCTATCTATTAAGCTATTTTTTTTTTATCTTTTAAAGAATGTTTATAAGTTATAACACCATCCTATTTAAACCACTCACCCACATACACATTGTAAGAGCAGCAGATTAGTGGGTGTCTGTAAATTACCAACATATTCATTTGTGATTTCATCTGAGGAAAATTAGGTCAGGTCAGGTCTGTCATAACATAAAGTTTAACCTGAAATATACATGTACCATAAAAACAACACTTACTTATTTTATCATATAGAGTTTAGACAATAAGTTGCCAGCAGACAAAACCGGACTTGCGTTAATAAATAAAAATTAAACATGTTTTACTTGATAATTATGTGTAACTAGCATTGTGTATGAAGTAGTTATAAGATTATATTTGGTATCCATAGATCTATATTGATATGTTTTCCCTAAACATATCGTTAGTATCCGATCACTATGAAACTTTAGAGACATGCTGAACATTCAGACCAGCACCCTTGTCTAACCTGACAGGTATATTTGCGGGACACTATAAAATTTACACTATGAAATTAGTTTAGACATATGTGGGACAGTCAAGCAGGTTTTCGTGGAGATTGGATGTCAGCTGTATAAATATAGATCTGTTCGCTGTATACATTTAGATCTGTTCGCTGTATACATTTAGATCTGTTCGCTGTATACATTTATATCTGTTCGCTGTATACATTTATAACTCTTCGCTTCATACATTTAGATCTGTTCGCTGTATACATATAGATCTGTTCGCTTCATACATTTAGATCTGTTCGCTGTATACATATAGATCTGTTTGCTGTATAAATATAGATCTGTTCGCTGTGTACATTTAGATCTGTTCGCTGTATACATTTATATCTGTTCGCTTCATACATTTAGATCTGTTCGCTGTATACATATAGATCTGTTCGCTTCATACATTTAGATCTGTTCGCTGTATACATATAGATCTGTTCGCTTCATACATTTAGATCTGTTCACTGTATACATATAGATCTGTTTGCTGTATACATTTAGATCTGTTCGCTGTATACATTTAGATCTGTTCGCTGTATACATTTAGATCTGTTCGCTGTATACATATAGATATGTTCGCTGTATACATTTAGATCTGTTCGCTGTATATACATGTAGATCTGTTTGCTGTATACATGATTTGCACGTAAAAAATAACATATTCTTCAAAGGTGAAATAAAAGAAATATATAGCCCTACTTCAAAAGATCAATGATGGTGTGGAGTATTAAGCTAAATTCTCTGTGATTCCCTACTGATATTAGAAGTTTGGCCCTTCACCAACTCTGATAAACAGGTCTATCTAGATATGTATGCAGAGGATCTCTATAGCTACATATACAGTTGAGTATCATGTATACCTTTAATACTGCTGGAGCACTAGTGCTCTAGTCCCATGGTCAGTAGCGTTTGGATAAGCATGGGTTTGTGAAATTGTAGAGAATTTATGGTATAAGCTGACAACCTTTTATCATAAGCTCAGTGCTAAATTGCTAGGACTGTTTTTGCTTATCATTACCAGGGATAATCCTGGAGGGGGCCATGGGGTCATTGACCCCTCAAAACTGAAATTGACCCCTCCAAGTAACATTTTAATTTTACATAGACTGGTCCCTCTTAAATTTGATGTTGTCTAAACATTGCTGAAATGGCCCACTGCTCTCAAAATCCAGGATTTTCTCTGATTACCATCAGATTTTATTCAAAACCTCTGCATGCAACTTACTCTTGCTGCATATAATTGTTATCTTTTACTGCAGTGAATATTAAAATTCAAGAACCCAAACTGGCATTTACAATCACATCTGTAATATCTGTTATGAATACATTTTAAGTCAGGCAATAAATGTAGCACTGTTTACATGTACATTGTGAATGTATTGTACAAAGTAGGGACAGTCATCATCACCTACTTGCATATTTGTTCTATTAATCACCCATGTGATTATAATAAGACATACATGAATGTAAGAACCTGAAAGCAGGGTTTGGGTGTACAAGGAAAGAAATACACTACACTTTTATATTTTCAAGTGAGTGTTGGCAATTATTGGAACGAAGTTTCCAGAAAAAAAAGAAAAAAAAATGTGTTTTAAGTAAGTAGTACATGTATGCACATACACAACATTTATAAAATATGTGTCTTGTTGTTCTATGTAATATAATTGTAGTCATGTAAGTTATAGACCCATGAATTTCTGTGGGGGGGTGTTAGAGGGAAGGGCAATTGTAAAGGATGTTTTTCAAAATTGGGAAATAGGATTAAAATTGGAAGTGTTGGTATCTGAAGTGTGTGTGTATGTTTGGGGGTGGGGCAGCGATTATAAGGATATGGGCGATATAATACTACATTGTAAAGCTACATGATAATTTTTCCCTTTCTACAATATTTTCTCTCAACTTTCTGAAATGTTCTTAACATGTAAATTGTGTGCTTGTTGAGTAATGCAGGTCTGCGTAGTCATGGTTAAATGACCTTGCTTGTTTTAAAGACTTGTTATTATGCATTTGAGGCGCCAATTACATATACAAATAGGGTATTACTGATTGAAGAAAGCTATCTCCGAAGCCAAACAGTATGAAACTTTGGAGAATGTTTTTGGTACATATAGTGTAGGACATTAGAACATGTTGTATCATTGTCCTTTTCCCCTTCCCAGTTATTTTTTGTGTTTTTTGCTATGAAATGAAACAAAATATCTAGATATTTTTTTGAAAACTAACACAGGGGCTATGGTGCTGGTGTCGCACACCTAGCCAACAACTAACACTGGCGCTATTGTGCTGGTGTCGCACACCTAGCCAACAACTAACACTGGGGCTATGGTGCTGATGTCGCACACCTAGCCAACAACTAACACTGGGGCTGTGGTGCTGGTGTCGCACACCTAGCCAACAACAAACACTGGGGCTGTGGTGCTGGTGTCGCACGCCTAGCCAACAACTTACACTGGGACTATGGTGCTGATGTCGCACACCTAGCCATTGCTATAAAATTATACAAAATAAAACATGTACAAGGTAAATTCAACGGAAATAATCAGGTATGATAAGGCATTGAATTAGTTCATATTTCAGGGTGTCATTGACAATGTTACTGCAATTATTTATAGAAAATTTTCAAAAAGTGAAATTAGGTTTATAGGTCTTTGTGGAAATTTTTCTAGTTTCTAGTCAAAAGCACTAGATGGGAAAGGTAATTCAGTGATTCAGTAATCAACAGCAATATCTAATAGTGTGGGAAGAGAGGAGTAGTTTATTTATTGAACAATGAACTTACTACCGTGAAATAAGAAGGCTGTATTGTCTTAAGGTTTAACCCATTTACCCCTAAAATCGCATTTGAATCTTACCAAATCAAAGACTGGGTAAGTCCAGTTTAAATATATATAGGGATGAATGAGTTAAGTTACAAGTCTTGCTTTATACACTTTAGCATTTATGAAATCTAAATATTTGATCACAATTCTAGTATTAAATTTGAAGTGTCTTTCAGAAATCAATGTTTCATTCATACTTTGTAATTTTGTTCCCATAAAGTAGCTATTTTAATCACTTAGATGCTGAATGAAAATTGAGTAATTCAAAGCCAATTGGGCCTTTTGTTTGATTAAATTTCAATTCCATTTGAAACATTTTGGATGAGTCATAATTGCAGAAATGTTCATTTTCACTAATTGTTTTTGCCAAATTGAGACAAATTTTGTGATCTCCGTTGATCAGCTATGAATCAGACAGTTGTTTATAAAAAGATTTTGTCAAAACTGATGAAAAATTCCGTCATAATTCACAAATTGGAAAAATTTCATTAGTTCTCTTATTATGAAGGTTTTTATCACATCATGTTATTATCCAGTATATATACATACAGGTTATTACCGTGTTAAATTAATAACGAGGACGTATGTATATGATTGGTTGTGTGTTGAATTTTCTCTGTGTGAATAATGGATGCTGAGATAGCTGAGAATCAGTGACTCATTTAGAGGAGGTAGTATGATTGGGCCTCTGCTGAGTGAATAATCAATATGTACACAAGCACCTCGACAATGGCTGGGTGCCAGCCTCCGGACCAACAAACGGGACACTTTTCATTGTTGCTGCTGCTGCTGCTGCTGGGGAATTTTGTGGCCGGGCCTCCTAAGGCAACTGTATAGACTTGTTACAATGAAAGGGCCGGTTTCATTCAGACCTATACAATACAATATATAAGTGTACATATATACAATGATACCAAAAATGTTGGAACATATTTGTTGTTACCAATCTCATAACCAAGAAAGAGTTTATGGAATATTTTTTCAATAAATATGCAAGCTAAAATCTAATTTAATTATAACATGTGGTCTGAATTTTGAAAAAAAAAAAGGATCTTATATTAATTAATAAACACTATAAATCCCTTACAATTTGTGTGCTATTGATATATTTTCGGGATTAAATCATAAATTAAAAAACCCAGAATATTTTGTTATAGGTACGGTAGACACATCAAAACAAAGGCTTAAAACCTATAATTGTTTCCTTTGCAAATTTGTCATTTGAATCGGGTCGTATTTGACATAATTAGGGGAATTTAAAAATATAATTCTAATACTTAACTGAAAAAAAAAGTTCATCCAAGATAAAAATCTTTTTGAAGAAAGTAAAGAAACAGTGTCTTGACAGAATTCGTCCAGCCATGTAACTTTCCCTGGTCTAAAATCAAAAGACAATCATGGCATGTAGACATGATGAGAGAAACTTTGTCTTTTGAGGGTCCCTTGATACAAAACTAGGAAAAATTATATCACGAATTCTGTCAAAGAAAAGATTTATGGCATGCACTGTGTCCTGTCAATTCCTCCAAATGTTTTAGTTATGACACGTAGTGTCAGACAGGGAAGAGTTTTTGTCCTACTGGACAAGACAACATCGCTGACCGCTTCTGTTTATGTTTCAGGATGTGGTGGACAATTACAGGGAACTTTGGTAACATCCTTCCGATAGACTGGTCAAAATCCTATGCAAGGGAACTGCATGCTAAAGTGCTAAATCTTGGGGAGCGCAAGGTAAGTTGTTAGTAGACTTATGGGATGCTGGGGAGCACACTCAATCTAAGTCAGTAATAAACTGGTAAAATACTGGGGAGCACACTCTATCTAAGTCAGTAATAAACTGGTAAAATACAGGGGAATACACTCTATATAAGCTTTTAGTAGGGACTCTGTATATTAAAAGTACTATCCCTGGCTACAATGTATATTAACAGTACAATGTACTATCCCTGGCTACAATGTATATTAACAGTACAATGTACTATCCACAGCTACAATGTATATTAACAGTACAATGTACTATCCCTGGCTACAATGTATATTAACAGTACAATGTACTATCCACAGCTACAATGTATATTAACAGTACAATGTACTATCCCTGGCTACAATGTATATTAACAGTACAATGTACTATCCACAGCTACAATGTATATTAACAGTACAATGTACTATCCCTGGCTACAATGTATATTAACAGTACAATGTACTATCCACAGCTACAATGTATATTAACAGTACAATGTACTATCCCTGGCTACAATGTATATTAACAGTACAATGTACTATCCACAGCTACAATGTATATTAACAGTACAATGTACTATCCCTGGCTACAATGTATATTAACAGTACAATGTACTATCCACAGCTACAATGTATATTAACAGTACAATGTACTATCCCTGGCTACAATGTATATTAACAGTACAATGTACTATCCCTGGCTACAATGTATATTAACAGTACAATGTACTATACCTGGCTACAATGTATATTAACAGTACAATGTACTATCCACAGCTACAGTCATCCGAACCGCAACACATTTTGTATATAAAGGACATTGTGTCGCCAACTCCCGTCAGCAAATCTTGGAAAATATTTTCTAAGGAAAATATTTCAAATAAAAATCCCTAAATAAATCAGTGTGGAATAAGTAATTTTACTTTTATGATCATTTTCTAATACTTAAATTTCTGATGAAATTAATTCAGAATCTAAATTATTCAACAAGATGTGGATTCGATTCCAAATTATTAGCTATTTAATAGAAGATGTTACACATATAATTATTATGTCTGTGCCACTCCACAGGATTGTGTGTCCCCTAATCTGGACCTGTCTGATGACGAGGAGCTGGCCCAGGCATTTGACATGCATTCCCTCATTGTGAGCAGTCTGACCCAGAATGACTCTGACCACGTAGAAACGGCCGAGGAAGTCATCAGTGAAATTGAGTGCATGATGCAGGTACAAGAAAGTGCTTTCTTCAGTACTTATTATCATATACAGTGTTAGTGTTTAAAAGTTGGGACCCAAGTAGGCAATGATAATGATACGGTGAAGGCTTTTTTTCGCCTTCAATTTGATATCAAGAAGGTGTCAAATATTGTCAATATTGTTGAACATAAGCTATAAGATTTTTTGTTTTCTCGAAAATTAGAGTTCAGATGTTCACAGCCAAGACTGATGCAGTTTATTTAATTTACAAATTATAAATAATGTGATATTGTAATGATAGAAACTATTAGTTTATTAGAAGGATCATTTTTTTTTCATAGACCCAAAATTGTTTAGCATACAATTTCAGCATCTTTTTAAAAGCCTATGATTTGATAAGTTAAAAGCCAATATTTCTAGATATTTATCTTGAAGCAAGTGCTGTCAATAATATTTGGAGTAGATCTAGAGGCGCATTTCTGAAAACGTAAGAAGCACTTAACAATGGCATTCCAAGTCTTTCAAGGTTTAGATGTACAGCTATATACTGACAGAAAAAAGTAGTCGTCACAAACGGCAGAATACCTGGTGACAAATGGTCGGGTGCTGGCTCGTATTGTAAACACTGATTTGTAGAACACAATGACTGTGTCTCGACTTCCTTCATTTGGCGCCAAATCAATATGGCATGTCAACCTGTTAAAGCAGCCAGCCTAGAAACCTGGTCAGTTGTAAAGATTTCGCAGAAACCTTATCACTTAAGTGAAGTTTTTGGTGCCCATTTATCAGCGTTATGTCACCTACCGTTCCATTGACCGATGGCTCAGTGCATATATACGTTGCTTTGCTTTCAGGAACCACAGCATGACAACCCTGCAGAGCTGTACCCTATAGAGACCGTACCTTATACTACAATCAAAGATTCCCTCCCCTCCTACTCAGAAGCTGGTAGGTGTTAGTAAAGTATTCTTCTCTGTGACCGGGCAGTTCTCCTGCATATTATAAATTACTTCTTAATTGTGAAAATGAAAAATTTCAAAACCAAAGAGGACAGTATTGTTAGTGTGAGTATAAAAAGTATTATAGAAAAAGAATGTGTGATTTCAGATCAGAGGGAAGACATATTCTATCTTGATGTAAAATACTCTATAAAAAAAACTTCTTGGTGTACTACTATAATTATCGGGGAAAAGCTTTCTGTACAAATAGTCTTACACATACAGCACAAATTTTGTTGTGGTTTTACAATAGACTGTTTCACAGACCAGAGTATGACTTTTTAGTCCAAAATATTGCATTATGAAAATGATGAGTTTGAAGTATAAAATTTGTTCTATCGTGCTGTGTATTCAGCAAATGTCATATAAAAAGTTCATAATGTCACTGAAATGTAAATGAAATCTGGGTTTACTGTGGCAACCCTTGATATCATCTAGATATGTATACGTGGGATAAGACCATAGTTCTCATAATGACCACTGTATACTGTATAACACGAAATCTCATAATGACCACTGTATACTGTATAACACGAAATCTCATAATGACCGCTGGTTACTGTATAACACGAAATCTCATAATGACCACTGTATACTGTATAACACGAAATCTCATAATGACCACTGGTTACTGTATAACACGAAATCTCATAATGACCACTGTATACTGTATAACACGAAATCTCATAATGACCACTGGTTACTGTATAACACGAAATCTCATAATGACCACTGTATACTGTATAACACGAAATCTCATAATGACCACTGGTTACTGTATAACACGAAATCTCATAATGACCACTGTATACTGTATAACACGAAATCTCATAATGACCACTGGTTACTGTATAACACGAAATCTCATAATGACCACTGTATACTGTATAACACGAAATCTCATAATGACCACTGGTTACTGTATAACACGAAATCTCATAATGACCACTGTATACTGTATAACACGAAATCTCATAATGACCACTGGTTACTGTATAACACGAAATCTCATAATGACCACTGTATACTGTATAACACGAAATCTCATAATGACCACTGGTTACTGTATAACACGAAATCTCATAATGACCACTGTATACTGTATAACACGAAATCTCATAATGACCACTGGTTACTGTATAACACGAAATCTCATAATGACCACTGTATACTGTATAACACGAAATCTCATAATGACCACTGGTTACTGTATAACACGAAATCTCATAATGACCACTGTATACTGTATAACACGAAATCTCATAATGACCACTGGTTACTGTATAACACGAAATCTCATAATGACCACTGTATACTGTATAACACGAAATCTCATAATGACCACTGGTTACTGTATAACACGAAATCTCATAATGACCACTGTATACTGTATAACACGAAATCTCATAATGACCACTGGTTACTGTATAACACGAAATCTCATAATGACCACTGTATACTGTATAACACGAAATCTCATAATGACCACTGGTTACTGTATAACACGAAATCTCATAATGACCACTGTATACTGTATAACACGAAATCTCATAATGACCACTGGTTACTGTATAACACGAAATCTCATAATGACCACTGTATACTGTATAACACGAAATCTCATAATGACCACTGGTTACTGTATAACACGAAATCTCATAATGACCACTGTATACTGTATAACACGAAATCTCATAATGACCACTGGTTACTGTATAACACGAAATCTCATAATGACCACTGTATACTGTATAACACGAAATCTCATAATGACCACTGGTTACTGTATAACACGAAATCTCATAATGACCACTGTATACTGTATAACACGAAATCTCATAATGACCACTGGTTACTGTATAACACGAAATCTCATAATGACCACTGTATACTGTATAACACGAAATCTCATAATGACCACTGGTTACTGTATAACACGAAATCTCATAATGACCACTGTATACTGTATAACACGAAATCTCATAATGACCACTGGTTACTGTATAACACGAAATCTCATAATGACCACTGTATACTGTATAACACGAAATCTCATAATGACCACTGGTTACTGTATAACACGAAATCTCATAATGACCACTGTATACTGTATAACACGAAATCTCATAATGACCACTGGTTACTGTATAACACGAAATCTCATAATGACCACTGTATACTGTATAACACGAAATCTCATAATGACCACTGGTTACTGTATAACACGAAATCTCATAATGACCACTGTATACTGTATAACACGAAATCTCATAATGACCACTGGTTACTGTATAACACGAAATCTCATAATGACCACTGTATACTGTATAACACGAAATCTCATAATGACCACTGGTTACTGTATAACACGAAATCTCATAATGACCACTGTATACTGTATAACACGAAATCTCATAATGACCACTGGTTACTGTATAACACGAAATCTCATAATGACCACTGTATACTGTATAACACGAAATCTCATAATGACCACTGGTTACTGTATAACACGAAATCTCATAATGACCACTGTATACTGTATAACACGAAATCTCATAATGACCACTGGTTACTGTATAACACGAAATCTCATAATGACCACTGTATACTGTATAACACGAAATCTCATAATGACCACTGGTTACTGTATAACACGAAATCTCATAATGACCACTGTATACTGTATAACACGAAATCTCATAATGACCACTGGTTACTGTATAACACGAAATCTCATAATGACCACTGTATACTGTATAACACGAAATCTCATAATGACCACTGGTTACTGTATAACACGAAATCTCATAATGACCACTGTATACTGTATAACACGAAATCTCATAATGACCACTGGTTACTGTATAACACGAAATCTCATAATGACCACTGTATACTGTATAACACGAAATCTCATAATGACCACTGGTTACTGTATAACACGAAATCTCATAATGACCACTGTATACTGTATAACACGAAATCTCATAATGACCACTGGTTACTGTATAACACGAAATCTCATAATGACCACTGTATACTGTATAACACGAAATCTCATAATGACCACTGGTTACTGTATAACACGAAATCTCATAATGACCACTGTATACTGTATAACACGAAATCTCATAATGACCACTGGTTACTGTATAACACGAAATCTCATAATGACCACTGTATACTGTATAACACGAAATCTCATAATGACCACTGGTTACTGTATAACACGAAATCTCATAATGACCACTGTATACTGTATAACACGAAATCTCATAATGACCACTGGTTACTGTATAACACGAAATCTCATAATGACCACTGTATACTGTATAACACGAAATCTCATAATGACCACTGGTTACTGTATAACACGAAATCTCATAATGACCACTGTATACTGTATAACACGAAATCTCATAATGACCACTGGTTACTGTATAACACGAAATCTCATAATGACCACTGTATACTGTATAACACGAAATCTCATAATGACCACTGGTTACTGTATAACACGAAATCTCATAATGACCACTGTATACTGTATAACACGAAATCTCATAATGACCACTGGTTACTGTATAACACGAAATCTCATAATGACCACTGTATACTGTATAACACGAAATCTCATAATGACCACTGGTTACTGTATAACACGAAATCTCATAATGACCACTGTATACTGTATAACACGAAATCTCATAATGACCACTGGTTACTGTATAACACGAAATCTCATAATGACCACTGTATACTGTATAACACGAAATCTCATAATGACCACTGGTTACTGTATAACACGAAATCTCATAATGACCACTGTATACTGTATAACACGAAATCTCATAATGACCACTGGTTACTGTATAACACGAAATCTCATAATGACCACTGTATACTGTATAACACGAAATCTCATAATGACCACTGGTTACTGTATAACACGAAATCTCATAATGACCACTGTATACTGTATAACACGAAATCTCATAATGACCACTGGTTACTGTATAACACGAAATCTCATAATGACCACTGTATACTGTATAACACGAAATCTCATAATGACCACTGGTTACTGTATAACACGAAATCTCATAATGACCACTGTATACTGTATAACACGAAATCTCATAATGACCACTGGTTACTGTATAACACGAAATCTCATAATGACCACTGTATACTGTATAACACGAAATCTCATAATGACCACTGGTTACTGTATAACACGAAATCTCATAATGACCACTGTATACTGTATAACACGAAATCTCATAATGACCACTGGTTACTGTATAACACGAAATCTCATAATGACCACTGTATACTGTATAACACGAAATCTCATAATGACCACTGGTTACTGTATAACACGAAATCTCATAATGACCACTGTATACTGTATAACACGAAATCTCATAATGACCACTGGTTACTGTATAACACGAAATCTCATAATGACCACTGTATACTGTATAACACGAAATCTCATAATGACCACTGGTTACTGTATAACACGAAATCTCATAATGACCACTGTATACTGTATAACACGAAATCTCATAATGACCACTGGTTACTGTATAACACGAAATCTCATAATGACCACTGTATACTGTATAACACGAAATCTCATAATGACCACTGGTTACTGTATAACACGAAATCTCATAATGACCACTGTATACTGTATAACACGAAATCTCATAATGACCACTGGTTACTGTATAACACGAAATCTCATAATGACCACTGTATACTGTATAACACGAAATCTCATAATGACCACTGGTTACTGTATAACACGAAATCTCATAATGACCACTGTATACTGTATAACACGAAATCTCATAATGACCACTGGTTACTGTATAACACGAAATCTCATAATGACCACTGTATACTGTATAACACGAAATCTCATAATGACCACTGGTTACTGTATAACACGAAATCTCATAATGACCACTGTATACTGTATAACACGAAATCTCATAATGACCACTGGTTACTGTATAACACGAAATCTCATAATGACCACTGTATACTGTATAACACGAAATCTCATAATGACCACTGGTTACTGTATAACACGAAATCTCATAATGACCACTGTATACTGTATAACACGAAATCTCATAATGACCACTGGTTACTGTATAACACGAAATCTCATAATGACCACTGTATACTGTATAACACGAAATCTCATAATGACCACTGGTTACTGTATAACACGAAATCTCATAATGACCACTGTATACTGTATAACACGAAATCTCATAATGACCACTGGTTACTGTATAACACGAAATCTCATAATGACCACTGTATACTGTATAACACGAAATCTCATAATGACCACTGGTTACTGTATAACACGAAATCTCATAATGACCACTGTATACTGTATAACACGAAATCTCATAATGACCACTGGTTACTGTATAACACGAAATCTCATAATGACCACTGTATACTGTATAACACGAAATCTCATAATGACCACTGGTTACTGTATAACACGAAATCTCATAATGACCACTGTATACTGTATAACACGAAATCTCATAATGACCACTGGTTACTGTATAACACGAAATCTCATAATGACCACTGTATACTGTATAACACGAAATCTCATAATGACCACTGGTTACTGTATAACACGAAATCTCATAATGACCACTGTATACTGTATAACACGAAATCTCATAATGACCACTGGTTACTGTATAACACGAAATCTCATAATGACCACTGTATACTGTATAACACGAAATCTCATAATGACCACTGGTTACTGTATAACACGAAATCTCATAATGACCACTGTATACTGTATAACACGAAATCTCATAATGACCACTGGTTACTGTATAACACGAAATCTCATAATGACCACTGTATACTGTATAACACGAAATCTCATAATGACCACTGGTTACTGTATAACACGAAATCTCATAATGACCACTGTATACTGTATAACACGAAATCTCATAATGACCACTGGTTACTGTATAACACGAAATCTCATAATGACCACTGGTTACTGTATAACACAAAATCTCATAATGGCCACTGTATACTGTATAACATGAAATTTTATAATGACCACTGGTTACTGTATAACACGAAATCTCATAATGACCACTGGTTACTGTATAACACGAAATCTCAATAATGAACATTGTATACTGTATAACATGAAATGTTCGTGGGTACTTTGCTTCGTGGTTTGAAGCTATTTAGATAATTTCGTGGTACAAACTTTCGTGAAATTCCTATATTAACAAATAGTAGACAGGTATATCATCCCAATTAGTTGTATTAATTTTTGTGGTTCAATAGCAACCACGAAAACTACGAACGTTTATGTATAACAAACATATCATGTTATACAGTATACAATATGGTGATCTATCAATTTACACCTGCTGCAAAGACATTCAAGAAATGTACAAACACATATACAGTGTATTGGTAAAAACATGTTGCTACCACTATTTCCGGTTCATTTGAATTCCACATATAGCAGCAGATCTACCATCCTATAAGCTAGAATATAAAAATCACGCCTCTGGGTCTCTATAAATGACTAATCTTCCTTTGGTTTACAGAGCTGAAGGGGATGTCCAACACCAAGCTGAATGAGGTCCTGGCGGAGTACGAGGTGATCATCAAAGAGCTGTCGGAGACGTTGATCCGTGAACTGGCCCTACGTGACGAATACGAGTACGATAAAGAGTTGAAGAACCAGTTCATCTCTCTGCTCCTCACCATACAGAAGCGGCGCAGAGAGAGCAATCTTGACAAAAAGAAGAAGAAAAACAAACCAGCTCCACCCACGTCCAGCGTCAACAATAACCTGACTAGTCCAGATGGCCCCAAAACTGTGAGTGTGTGAAATCTTTAACATCAAGCTGACAAACAGGACTTCCTTAGAATTTACACACCATAGACAATAGGTCTATGACATTTTGATAGACCATACCTTGACCAAGACATTTTTACTTGTATCTATTTACAATAAATTAAAGAGAATATGTGCAATAATAAAAGAAAAGAGTAAGCAAACAGAAATCTGTTTCCTCACTACTAGGAATGGATTTGCATTTGTGGAAATAAGTATTAAATAAAAATCATAACTGATATTTAATTTGTGTAAACTCCACTAACAAAAACACATCTAGCAAGCAATTTTTGCAAACACTAATATCAGTTACATTTGAAATCAAAATATGTAATTAGGCTGAACTCTTTGAACTACGTTTATTTTGCAGTTCCTTACAACAGTTATCCCCTACCACACATTTGAAGGCCCGCCGAGATCTGAACAACTCCAAATTTACATAAAAAGTAGGTATCCAGAGTGTTTGTTGAGTCTTCAAAATGTTTTCAGTCTGCTGTGCATTCTGTTTTGGAAGATACCAAATAAAAACACTAACTTTCAAGCAACTGACACTATATTAATGAGATTTTTAGATAAGATGAAAAATATATCTACATTTTAAGACAAGTTTCACTGACTTTGAAGTTATTGTAAGGCAAAGTGTAGTTGTTCTGGCAGTAAAAATCTTACTGATGTGTACTGTTCTGTGAAGCGAGTATATGTTACCTATGTGTACTGTTTTGTGAAGCTAGTATATGTTACTGTTGTGTACTGTTTTGTGAAGCGAGTATATGTTACTTATGTGTACTGTTTTGTGAAGCGAGTATATGTTACTGATGTGTCCTGTTTTGTGAAGCGAGTATATGTTACTGATGTGTACTATGTTGTGAAGCTAGTATATGTTTGTGATGTGTATTGTTTTGTGAAGCTAGTATATGTTTGTGATGTGTATTGTTTTGTGAAGCTAGTATATGTTTCTAATGTGTACTGTTCTTTGAAGCTAGTATATGTTTCTAATGTGTACTGTTCTTTGAAGCTAGTATATGTTTCTAATGTGTACTGTTCTTTGAAGCTAGTATATGTTTCTAATGTGTACTGTTCTTTGAAGCTAGTATATGTTTCTGATCTGTACTGTTTTGTGAAGCTAGGATATGTTTCTGATGTGTACTGTGTTGTTAAGCTAGTATATGTTACCGATGCGAACTGTGTTGTGAAGCTAGTATATATTACTGATGTGTCCTGTTTTGTGAAGCTAGTATATGTTTGTGATGTGTATTGTTTTGTGAAGCTAGTATATGTTTGTGATGTGTATTGTTTTGTGAAGCTAGTATATGTTACCGATGTGTACTGTTTTGTGTAGCTAGTATATGTTACTGATGTTTACTGTGTTGTGAAGCTTGTATATGTTTCTGATGTGTCCTGTTTTGTGAAGCTAGTATATGTTTCTGATGTGTCCTGTTTTGTTAAGCTAGTATATGTTACTGATGTGTCCTGTTTTGTGAAGCGAGTATATGTTACTGATGTGTACTGTGTTGTGAAGCTAGTATATGTCACATAACTTTAAAACCTTAAGATAATGGTGTCCTGCTATTTAGTTTGTGTAACCTTTCCTTGTCACATATCAAATTAGATGGTTGGCATTGTTGATGGTAAGGTTTCAGTATATTTTTGGTTTGCCAAACTTTCACAGGAAAAGTGAATGCTGTTACAATAGGTGGCTTATTTATAACTCTTAGCAATGCCAGAGACATGATGAGCCAATTGGACCTTTACACATATTTCTTTCTCAAGCTAGTTTGGTATTGTCTATGACAAAGAATGCATTTTTAAATATAGATTCATTTGCAAAACGCTGTTTGTTTTTTTTAAACATGAATTACATGCTAGTTAAAGTGTTAGTAGATGTGTATTTGTATTTTGTTGGATCCATTAAGAATTAGTTTTATAACATAACCCCAGTGTTATGTAATGATTATGCACAGGTGTTATATTGTTGTATCCGAACAAAATATCTACATTTATTCGAGCTAATCAATACGTCACAAGGTGTTCTAATATTGATATTCCAGGAAACACATTTCTTAAGCTCTTTTATTTTAGTTTTTTTCCAGGAAGATTAAACCAACAGTGTTTTTTTAGATGGATGAAACTTGATGTTCATCCTAAGAAAAACGTTGTGGCAGTTGATAGTCAATCATATCATGTGATAGTTAACTTCTTTGGAGAATTGCTGTTATAACTATTGCAATGTATCTTTAAGTACAACGTATCGTTACACTATTAGTGATATATTGGTCCTCAATCAATCATTTGTAGGTCATGTAATAGGATATTTCCATTTCATATGAGATTTGTGTACCAGGTAAAGTCTATGGTTTGTGAAGAATCCGTAGGCTATGCTTGAGGAACTGTCAATCCTATGTTAAGATGGTTGTAACACTGGATCTGTTTGTTTTACAGTACTACAGGCCATAAATGAAGATAGTCCAACAGTCCCCACACTTCTGACTGACTACATCTTGAAAGGTAAGGTCACCGTTAATCTGACCCCAGTCCTAAACCAACCTCAGCCCTCACAAACCCCTCATTAACCCACATCCACTCTTAAAAAACCTGCCCTATATCATGAATCCACACAAGCCCACACAAACCCTGCCCTCTATAAATCCACACCGGCCCACACAACCCCGGCCCTCTATAAATCCACACCGGCACACACAAACCCTGCCCTATAATATAATCCACACCAGCCCAAACAAACCCTGCCCTCTATCAATCCACTCAGCCCTCACAAACCCTGCCCTATAATATAATCCAGCCCGCTATTATAAACCACCCCTACCTTCAAAAGGTGTTTCTGCCCATTCTTCTCCTCAATCCTTAAAAAAAAATATCCCCAAATCTTCTTTTTTATGCCCCCGCCATAAAATGGGGGGGGGGCATATAGTGTTGCCCATGTCTGTCCTGTCCTGTCCCGTCCCATCCCCGCCCTGTCCAAAGTGGTTGTAACTACTAATTCTACATGGTGATTCATATCTTACTGACATTTTCTAGTTCTAAATACAACTACATATATTTACCTAAATTGCCATCACAATAAGTTGTCTTCTGCCTCCCCAATATCCCCACAAATTTCCATCAAGCACAGTCTTTTCGTCTTTCCCTCTATACTGCTAACACCCTGCCCTACTTTCCCAACCCCACAACCAGTTAACATTTAAGTCCCCAACATCTGATCCCCTAATTCCTCCACCCCTTCAAATCTTTTGTCCCCTTCCTCAAGATCGCTAAAACTATCTTACTTCCCCACCAGCATAACCAGTTAACATTTACTTCCCCTACAGCTAACCCCCTAATTCCTCTACCCCTTAAAATCTGTTGTCCCGTCCCTCATGATCCCTGCAACTGCCTTACTTCCCCACCTCACAACTTGTTGTCCCTGTTATCCCTAAATATATGCCTGTAAGGATCTTGCATTTCAAGCTTCAAGGTCATGCCATAGTTTTTCATGCTTCAATTCAGGAGAATTATAATATACAAAGAATCATCTATATTTTCAGTCTGTATGACTTGACGACTTGTCTTGTCAAAATACTCCCAAAGACTTGTTCCCCGTGTTTGGTGGAAGGATGTGTACAGGTATCAGTTTGGAAATACAAACATATGTAGATAGGACTTAAAGTTGAAATATAGTTTCAAGCATTTGTCTGGTAGTCTTAAACTTGTAGCCAACTTCTGTCAAGGTGCCCAGTTAATGCTTTGCTAAATAACTTGAAATGAGGACAAAGTTGAATCTCTAGTAACACTATAGTCTGAATGGAATTGAGCCTAGCTAATATAAATACATATATTTGTCCAGTTCTGTGGCCAGCTGCAGCAAAGTTGCCTAAGGGTACTGTTTTAAACTTGTTCCCAGATGATAGAATCAAGGTTATTATGTACAACAACCAAGGTAGATATTGATCACATAGGTATCAACATCTATGTACCTGTTCAGGCATGCCTCTCAGACCTGTTATAAAATCAATACCTGGCTGGCTGATAAGGTGGCAAGCTTTCCTGTCGTCTCCGCCATCAGCCTCTGCATCACAGATCAATTCCACTCCTATCTCACATCAGTGCCAGTCTGGGTCACACAAGCTTTGTAACGTTTCTCAAAAATAAGATAAGTGTGAAGTGAGTGTTAAGATGCGGCACTGATAAAAGTTTTAAGATATTTTTTTGGCCAAAAAAAAATGCAAGAAAGTCTTGTATACTTGTCTATGACAGGACCTATTATGGTATGGCCTTATCTGCCTGGTTTGACATCATTTCAGTCAACAACATATTGTTCCTTGTAATGTCAACTGTATTAACCACACTTGCAATAAAATATACAGGTCACTATATAAAGAGTTATAGCTCTTTGTTCGTTTTTGGTCATTTTTAGCTCACCTGGTCCGAAAGGACCATGGTGAGCTTATGCCATACCGCAGCGTCAGTCATCCGTCCGTCAACTTTTCCTTTAAAATGCTACTGGTCCTGAACGGCCGAGTAGATTTTGACTAAATTTGGTCTGGAGCAGCCTTAGACCAAGGGGACACAATTTTGTATAAACGGTGGGTGTGACCCCCTGGGGGCAGAGGGATGGGGCCAAATAATGGAAATAGAGGTAAAACCTTTAAAAATCCTTCTTCTACCATAGGGAATTAAGGGGTTTTATTCTGATTTAGTCTGGAGCATACTTGGACCAAGGGGACTCAATTTTGTTTCAACTGTGGGTGTGGCCACCCTAATTTAGCTAATTCTATAAAATTCTTCTTCTGTAGGAATGACAGGATTATGTCCATATTTGGTCTAAAGCATCCTTGGGTGAAGGGGAACTAATTTTGTATCGACAACCCCTGGGGGCAGAGGGGCGGGGCCCAATTGTGGAAACATAGCAAATTCTTCAAAATCCTCCTTTTCCTGTAGGAATGACAGGATTGTGTCCAATTGCATATAAAAATAACCCCTGACTAATCATGTAATACATGTACAGCAACATCTGGCTATTTCAGCTTTAATTTTGCTAACATTTCCAGGTGAGCAATACAGGACCTCGGGCATCTTTTTTTCAATTATTTTCACAATTGGACATATTTCCATACTTCAGTTTGCTGTTCTGTTTGTTTCTCTTCTGTATCCTTCATCTTGCTCTTTTAATCATAGAATAATATATTATACAATATCTCTAAATGGATGGCATGTGTTAGCATATATTTTTCTGCTTCTGATCAACTCATAGTTCGTAAGTTTTTGGTTTGAAGACAGTGTTTCCATTCAGATCAGAGGAAGGGGCCTCTCGAATTTAAAACAAGTTTTCAATTAAGATGAAACTTATTTGCTTGTTGTATGAAAGGTACCTAGACGCCATGGCTGCCATTTTGAAAAACTATTTCAAATTTAAAGTCAAGTTCTACTGGACCTATTGACCTGAAACTTGGTAGGAATGATCGACTCATGGTTCTGTCAAAGCGTTGATATTTTTCGGGTCGATCGAAAATCCAATATGGCCGCCATTTAGAAAAACTATTTCAAACTTAAAGTCAATTTCTACTGGGCCCATTGAACTGAAACTTTTTAGGAATGATCGACTTATGGTCCGGAACAAGTGTTGTTATTTTTCGGGTCGATCAGAAATCCAATATGGCCACCAAGGCTGCTATTTTTAAAATAACTTTTTCAAACTTGAAGTGGAGTTCTACTGGGCCTATTGAACTGGAACTTAGTAGGAATGATTGACTTATGGTCCTGGCAAAGTTTTCAAAGTGTCAAACTTTTTAGGAATGATCGACTTATGGTCCGGAACAAGTGTTGTTATTTTTCGGGTCGATCAGAAATCCAATATGGCCACCAAGGCTGCTATTTTTAAAATAACTTTTTCAAACTTGAAGTGGAGTTCTACTGGGCCTATTGAACTGGAACTTAGTAGGAATGATTGACTTATGGTCCTGGCAAAGTTTTCTTTTTTCTTTTTCGGGCCGATTAGCCACGGCTGCATTTTGAAAAACAACTATTTCAAACTTAAAATCAAGTTCTAACAGGCCAATTTAACTGAAACTCGGTCTAGGAATTATCGAGTCAGGGTCGTGAAAAACTTCACATTATACTTAACTTTTTTTTACTAGAATTGGTAGGGATGATTGACATTATCTCAATATTTAATATTAATATTTAGTATTTCAACAACAAAAATAAATACTGTAGGACTCTTGTTTAGAAATATTGTCTGTTGTTTCTGAGGTAGTTGTTCTGTGTTGTGCAGAACAGTGCTTTTGTCTCTTTCGTTTTAACCCTCATGTCTGGTCCCATTTGAGGTAGAAATGCGAGACATTTCTCCTTTAGGCCCAAAATATACACCATTTACTCTGCAATCCAGGGGGAGAACATATATGTGTATGACCTGTACATATATGTTGATATATTTATAACCATAACAGTTGTTGTGTTTAACAATTCTCAGCTGGTGTAATAATACAGCCACAATTATGAAACCTGTTTTACTAACATGTATTTTGTTTGATGCTGTTGGAAGCATTATCTATGGTCTATGTGTACTGATACAGACCTTAGTGTGAACCTAAGTTGATCAGACAAGAAATGATATGACAATGCATTGTGATGTCACACTAAATTGTAATAACTAATTTATATGTGCTATCTTAGATTGAATATTCCACTTTCCTTAACTGAACTTTAAAGGTCAACAGAAATCAAGCATGATGTCTGATTTCAGATCAACAGAACAATAAAGTCGATGTTACTTTAAGTTTGAAATCCGGTGCTCTATTAGGTTTGTGCTTTACCAGGTTGTTTTTGCGCTATAAACATGTTTGATAAGGGAAGGCTAAAATTGCTGTTACAACAATGTGCCACTTGTGATGTAGGAAGCGTAAGAGTAATATGTCAATGTTAATGGGCCATGTTAACATAAGTAGTATTGATTGGTGGGGGACCATCTGCCGACGACGGTGGCTTCCCTCCTCCTCCTCCTTTACCATAGCTGACACATGTGGTCTCATGCACAGGAAACATATGGCACTAACTGGTGTGTGTTGGGTATTGATTTTTGCCAATGCTAAATGCTGCGGATGTGATCTTACATACTCCAGCAATGTTCTATACAATACTGAACATCTATCTCGGATACGATTGACGAGATTTCTATCTTCTGTCCTGTAAGAACACCGTCATTAAATGTGTAATGGTCCCAATAAGGGCGAAAATGACTTGTGTATGTAAAGTTTGTTCCTAAAAAACTGTGGCTTTGTATTCAACAATCTTCCAAGGTCTTGTTAATAAGTTAATTATAATCCCTCAAGTATATAGTGTCAAGTTATGCCACAAATAAATAAGATCCATTAATAAGAGGTGTTTCACATATTTTTTGTGGCATATCCCAAAGTTTGTCGAATAATTTCACATTTTTGATAAGAAAGGTGGCTCACCAAGTGACATAATAAGTTTGATGAGTAGATCATTAGGTCTCTTTCTACCACTATTGCCCATCTTGATCAACACCCCGGCAATCCTCTATGTAATGTGTAACATTGAAGATAAACAGTCTTTGTTTCAGGCAGCTGCCTCACATCCATCCTTCCTTAAAGTGTACCACAATGAAAGCTTGAAATTTATAAGTGCTTTACGCTAGCATTGCAAACACTAAGATTGAACAGTCGAGTGATAAACAATTTGTAGTTGAACGTAGCTGTATGATTTTTACACATCGATCAGAATCATATCACTCCTAACAAATTCCTATGCAGCCTGATTCATCTTTTGTAAAATAGTGACATTGATCAGTAGTTGTCATAAAAAGTTCATGTTGAAAAGAATTCCACAACATACCATATGTTTCTCATTTTTCTTGAGTTAATTTTCAAATTTACGAAAACAAAAACCCAAATATTTTCACTGTGAATAAACATTAATCATATTTAGAAATAAAACAGTAGGAGAATAAATATTCAGACTGCAAATAAATGTTGTGTACAGGTTTACCTACTTCAGTTTAATGTACAAGCTGACAGGGACTGTTTGCAATAAATGAAAGTTTTGTGAATGTTAAGCAATTTAAGAAAATATACAAAACTGTTCATCAGAATTTGCAAACCATAGCATTCACAAATAAAAAGACCTATTCTGTTTTACAATTTGAGTTCCAGGTTCTGTTACAGGACATCTGAATCAATGCAGATACAGTGAGTGCCGATGGGCCTTTTAAAAACTATGTCTTTAAAACTTTTTATGTCGCTGCTTATGCATATCATGTTTACAATTGTCCTTTTGACTTGCCTAATAGTTCCTCTTGGTTTGTTTCAGTTCTCTGCCCGACATAAGAGCTGTGAGGATGAGACGAGCACCCAATATGTTACATGCCTAGCCATTTTGTATATACAGCCATGGTTTCTGTGACACTGCCAACAGCGTTTTCTCATTTTTGTTGTTGTTTTGACCTCCGGAGCACTTCAGTAATTACTTGTGTTATGTTGTTTTCATGGCAGCTCAGCAGACATATTCAGCTTCCCATTCATCCTGTACATACAAGCAGTCATTGTGTGCTATATTATTTTGTAGACAAAACATATTGTATGTACATACAAGTTAAGCATTCATTGTATACTAATCATCCTGTAAGTGGAATTGTACAATAATTGTACATCATTAGCATTTTCACCCAAAGCATCGCAAAAGTCTGCACGATGGTATTTCAAAGGCCATTTTCTTTCATTTTTTTTTTTTTCAAAATAAATAAATAAATATTTTATTCAGCCTGTATGTAACACTCAAAAAGCTTTTTTCTCATTGGCTAGGGCAAAGGGCACCGGAAAATGATCTTATTGAGATGGAATTACAGTTTGAAGTGCTTAATGAGATCTCATCTTCTTTGATTCATAATTTTTTCGTAATCAAGTACCAGATATATCGCTCGTATGACAAAAAACATCTCACTATAGCCGAGGACTACAAAATGTTGGGCAATAAAAATGTTCGATTTAGAATGCACTTAGGTATGCTAGTTCGAAAGCAAAGACATTTCTTTAAATATAAAAGAACTTTCTTGTGTCGGTGAGAATAGGAGATCAGGGTTCCAATTCAAGGATCATAGTGTTTGGATATGTCCCTGGGCCCAGGGTTCCAATTCAAGGATCATAGTGTTTGGATATGTCCCTGGGCCCAGGGTTCCAATTCAAGGATCATAGTGTTTGGATATGTCCCTGGGCCCAGGGTTCCAATTCAAGGATCATAGTGTTTGGATATGTCCCTGGGCCTAGGGTTCCAATTCAAGGATCATAGTGTTTGGATATGTCCCTGGGCCCGGGGTTCCAATTCAAGGATCATAGTGTTTGGATATGTCCCTGGGCCTGGGGTTCCAATTCAAGGATCATAGTGTTTGGATATGTCCCTGGGCCCGGGGTTCCAATTCAAGGATCATAGTGTTTGGATATGTCCCTGGGCCTGGTGTTCCAATTCAAGGATCATAGTGTTTGGATATGTCCCTGGGCCCGGGGTTCCAATTCAAGGATCATAGTGTTTGGATATGTCCCTGGGCCTGGTGTTCCAATTCAAGGATCATAGTGTTTGGATATGTCCCTGGGCCCGGGGTTCCAATTCAAGGATCATAGTGTTTGGATATGTCCCTGGGCCTGGTGTTCCAATTCAAGAATCATAGTGCTTGGATATGTCAGTAATGTTTGAGACATCAATATTTTGAATAATTACTGCAGAAATGGATTTACTCCTCCATGCTTTCTCAGTTCCACATGCTCTTGTTCTTCTGTAAACTTCAAATGCTTGACCAATAGGACCTCGTCTGTGTTAAGAATGAAGTCATATACGGCTGTATTAGCAATATGGGCAAGCTAGGATTGGCGATTTACTATTAAGGTCATTACATCTATCCATCGCGCTTTGTCATATTTGAAATCTAGTCCTGCTAAGCTTAAAACCACAAGCACCATCAGCATTGAAACCATTATCAAACATCATAACTATCAATTTATTATAATCCAATATTTGTATGTAGCATTCAAACTCCTAGATGAATCGTGGCCTTGTAGACGAAGTATAAAAGTTACGTTATTAATGATAATAACTGGAAGATATTGGACTAGAAAGCTATATACATGTCACCTTGGTAAAATACAAGCTGCTTTCTTCAGACTCTGCTTTATAGAATTCATATTTAGATCTTTCGTTTGAAACCTAGCAGACCCATAGAAAAATAATAATTTAATACCTAAAATACTTCAGAAATACATGTATTGACACTATTGCATAATGCTTCATCCTATATTAGTCATGGTTTTTTTTCAGTTTTACCAGAAACATGACTGTTTTTATGGGAAGTATTTACTATTTTTATGGGAAGTATTTAGTAAAAGCTTGCACTTACTAGCTCATCCTGGTACACATTTTGTCAGGATTTCCTTATTACTGAACCTAGTGTTGTGATCAAATATTCAGTCAGACTCTTCTGATTGTATGGTCAGTAAAAAGTTTGACCTGGTAAACAATTTTCAGAATCAATGTAAGGCTTGATCTTATTCAAAATGCCATGGTCAATGTAAAGCTTGTTGAGTCTGTTGAATTATACCATTAAGTTTTGTACATATTTTTCCTCCCTGTATTTGCACGGACTATATGGATTTTTGCATTGTGAAGTATCTATAATATTATGTGTGTATTTACTAATGTCATGTTGAGAGTTTATGCCAGTGTACAGTATAATCTCGTTATACTGTCAAAGTTTGTTCAGTGAAAATTTTGTGTTGTATAATGTAAGGGGGTTTGTCAATATATCTTAGAAATTAAAGGGTGATTAAAAGAATATTTATGGTAAGTTATGCGACACATGAAGTGAGAGGCATTATATTGAGGTTTTACTGTATATTTTATGTAGAGTGAAAAATAATTTGTACACATATATTATACATGTACCTGATATTCAATAACAATATTGTCAATTAGCTTCATGCTACCTAATATACGTGTATATCTATATATCTATACATATATGGGCAATGTGCAAATAAGTATCATATCTTTGTGCAGCGGTAACATTAATTTGATCAATATAAATATATGATACACAGTCTACAAGAAATCAAACTTTGATTGATATTGATTTACCACTTTTTTATATGCTAGATATTTCATATGTTTTTACACCTGCGTTTTAGAATAACCATGTTGTTTGTAAGGTGATGCTTGGTTTAACATGTGGCGTTGTTAGCCTGATAATTTATCAAATAACACACACACTCGTACTGCAAGTATATATAGTTAATCAAATTTTACAAGTACTGTATTAAGAGCTTTGTATTCATTTCTCGGTGTTGTGGAAATCCTGTATGTTGCGTAATCAATACCTTCATCAAGAGAAAAATATCAGATATATTATACCATACAATTTAAAATGTATGCGGTTCTTGATATTGAATTGAAAAAGAAATAGAGTATTATAAGCATATTCCAGTTCTGTCCCGGTCAATATGTATGCTGTATTGAAATACATGAATGATCATATATCTATATATATATATAAAGAATCTATGAAGATTGTTTAATTAATGAAGGTGATATAATTAATAAAGAAATGAGCATTTAGATTTATTTTCGATTATCTCCCTTAGATTAAAAATAGCATTTAGTAAATCTCAGTCTGAATATTAATGAACACGTTTGTACAATAGTTAAAGAAGCTTTGTTGATTATCTGGTAAGCCGAAGCTGTGCTACCCTTACAGAATGGTTATAAAGGGAACCGTTTGATACAAATCTATTTGTCAGATATATAGTACTTAATACAGTGGACATGCATGTGTAAATCTGAATTACCAGAAGCAAGTTTGCATGTACAGACTGGAGGAGTTTGAACCAACTTAAGATAATTGAAACTGTGAGGGAATGTACACACAAATGTTTATGTTATAAAGTAACAAATCCAAGGCTGCAGTAAAAATATAAATACATAGATGCTTAGATTTTATTCTGACAAAATTAGAATTTTACAATCCTTTGGCAGTCGGCTCTAAAGTAAAAAATAATTAAACATATATATACATTGAAGAACATGTATATAATGACTTCAATTCAGGAAGATTGCAATATGAATTTACCTTATAACACTTCATACATTAACAGTACTTTCTTGTTATATTAAAAAGAACTAACACTGTAGAACAGATTAACTATTCAGGTTCCATGATCTAATCAGGTTTACTGTGTGTTTAATACTGGTGTTAATGTAAATGAGCTATAATATACAGTATTTATTTTCCTGTCTGGTTCAGGTTGGTTTCAAATCTTCATCACATGACGCTTTTAATATTTATAAGGTGGGTTACACATACTTTGATTTCCCTCACTATATAATTTCAGCACTAGCTACACTTCCAAATCTGTTTTTTTCTTTCCGTTTCATTGATCTTAATAAGGTGTTTTCTAGAAGGGATATTGAGATGGTGACAGAGTCTGCTAGTCATCTGTTTAATTTTGTGTCGGGGACGGTTGACCTGTGTATCTTTTACTTTTACAGTAATCTATTCATCATGTCGGTCAAACATTTGTTGCGCAATAGGATAAGTATTTATGTGATCAACAGGTATATTATGGGTCACTTGTAATACAGCCACTAGATGGCACATTGCTTGCAAGAGGTTTTCTCCTCTTCTCCCCCCTCCAATTTTTTTTTAACAATTTCGTATTCCATTTAAGAGTAGTTTGGGATGTAAATCAAATACATGAAATGGATGAAAATAATAGAAACATTATCCTTAAAAAAAGAGTAAATTTCATGGCTCTCTGAATTATATTTGAAAAGCATGTTGTTTTAAAAATGTGTGCAGCCATCAATCCATGTCGTGAAAAACTACAGGTTCAAGTGTCAAAGTTTATGAAGATAAAGATAAGGATGACATGTATATAGGTGGGGACCAATGTATCTGTTAGATTTAAGAGTATTTGATCCCTCGTGAGTCGAGATGACCGATTTCTACTGCATGTGTATGTATGTGACGTACATACAGGTATCAAATCATACAAGTTGTAGAAATAAGAAGTTTTGTGTGTGATATATTTGTGTAGAAGCGTAGTTTCATCACGACAAAATTGCTTTGTCCAGGGTTGTATATATATATATATATCCATCGCTTTACGTATATCTGTTTTCTATTTAACATTTTTTTGTGATATCCATTACAAGTTTATTGATGTTATTGAATGAACTGTTTATTTGTTTTGCTTTTACAAGCTGATTCCACCTGCTGAATAATCAAACCATTTGAAAACAAATCCTTACATCATTTTGAACTGGGACCGTATATACTATAATACAGTTATATATAATCGTAGTCCCAGGTTCTAGTTTAAATTTTTTCTCATTACTTAATAATCTATAATCAAAATGATATATGCTTTAGTGGATTATTTGCTTGGAAATGAGAAGAAAAGTTAATTCCTACAACAACTTGGAATATATATATCATTCTCTGTATGGAGTGCACCAATTGCTATGAAATGTTGACCGTATATTTACATATTACTCGGTAGTTGGCTTTTGTGGCCAGTGATATAAAGCTTTATATAGTGTTAGTATTAGGTTGTGTGATCAGTATGATTGTGTTGTGGTCTTATTTGGTAAGAACGAACGGTTGAGTTTTCACTTGTGTATTAATAAATAAGTAAAAAGACTAGATCTGTTTTGAATGTTGCCAACTGTAAGGAAGTTATTTTGAAAGGGATTTTAATCATTGAAGCAGGAATGTACGGCTTTAAACTTCTTTGATTGAAGGAAAAAATTATACATCTTGTGGTATACACCAATCTTGAAGTCGATTGAAGGATTCATAAGTTGAAATTTGATGAAAAACAAACTTGACATCATTCTTGTAAAGAACAATAGCATTTTGGTCCACAGTAAAGAGATTGTATCTATGGTTAACTTCTTGCTTTTCATACAGACAGCCAGGCATTGAGTGTGGAATTGTCAGAGGTTGTTGTCATGGTAACGTAACCACAGAACTCTCTTTTGGCTGATGACCGTATAGTTCCTTCCTAGTGAGAAAACACTGAATAAAAACTTCAGTATTCAAAAAAAAGAGATTGAAAAACAAATATCTCAAATATTTGTGAGGCTATGTTAGTTACAGAGGATGCTTTTTAAGTTGTGATGTAAACAGATAGAGCAAGCATGAAACAGTCGGCAACATTTAATGAGATACAGTTCAGTTTATTCGTAATATATATAAGACATTGACGATTGCTTTTGTGTATATCAGTATAGGAAATGCACACAGAATAAATCCTCTTTGTTTGTGACTGTGAAGTATTAATGAGTGGATTTTATCACTAGTTGAAGTGCAAAATGAGTCCCAATTTTTCCTGTCTCAATTTTAAATTAGATAACTTTATTACTGTTCGACGAAGATCAAGGGAGGAGCACTCTTATTATTGTGCCATGAATTCAATGTCAAGTGTAGCCATTTTTTTTTTCCATACTTTTTTCCTTGTGAAACTTACGCAGGTATTGTGAGAAACATTTGTGTATCAATGTGAAATCATGATTTTGAATCAGTAAATAGAAATAAAAATCTTTAACTTATGTCTTAGGCTTTTTGTTTTTCATGAAGACTTCGTTTGAATATCAGCTGTGAGGAGGTTGTGTATTATTGTCTAATTTGGGGGGGGGGGGGGGGGGTAATGTTTCCCAGTTGCTGTGATAAGAACCAGTTTACAGGTATTAAAAACATCACGCAGCGTTCATGTTCAATGTACAGAGATATGATTTCAAGAGTGTACTTTTGTATTTTTGCGATACAAAATGTTTTATCAAAATAACAAAGTGGGATATTGAATTGGTGTTTTATCTTCATTTTAAGGAGTAAATCAGTATGCAGGTCGTTTCTTTAATCTCTGTATATTCATAGTTATAATCTTAGGTGATTGTATTGCAGGTTCATAATTGCTGACTTTTAGCTCACTTGGCCCTTTGGCCAGCCGTCGTCAACTTTTTACTTTAAACAACATCTTCTCAATAACCAAGAGGCCCAGGCTGATGATATTTGGCCAGTAGCATGCTGGGATGAAGGGCTACCAAGTTTGTTCAAATGAATGACCTTGACCCACTTTCAATATCACAGGGGTCAAATGTCTTAAAATCTTCAAACAACTTCTTATCAATAACAGCCTTGGATGATGATATTTGGCCAGGAGCCTGCTGGGATGAAGAGCTACCAAGTTTGTTAAAACAATTGACCTTCACCCATTTTCAAGGTCACAGGGTTCAAATATGTTTAAAACCTGTAAACAACTTCTTTTGAATAACCAAGAGGCATAGGATAATGATCAAATATGTTTAAATCTGTAAATGACTTGTTCTGAATATTTGGCCAGAAGCATGCTTGGACGGAAGGCTATAAACTCTGTTCAACTTAATGTCCTTGTTTGACTTTTAGGGTCACAGGTGTCGTATGTTTAAATCATTTAATAGATTCTAATGAATCGAACACAGATATTTTGTCTGTAGCTGTACATTAGTCCACTTTTAAGATTACAAGTGTGAGATTAATACCATTGGGCCTCTTGTATAAAATTTGTTATAGGGCTCATACCCACTTTTCTTTTTAGCTTATGCCGTGGCGCGGCGTCTGTCGTTAGTCCAGTTGGCCAGTAGCCTGCTGAGATGAAGGGCTAAAAAGTTTGTTCAAATGAATGACCTTCACCCATATTCAAGGTGACAGGGGTCAAATATGTTAAAAACTTAAACAACTTCTTCTGAATAACCAAAATGCCCATGGTGATGATATTTAGTCAGTAGCATACTTGGATCAAGGGCTACCAAGTTGTTTAAATGTATGACCTTGCCTTATATTCAAGGTCACAGGAGTCAAATTTGTTTAAAACCTTTAAACGAACTCTTCTGAATAACCATGGGTTCCAGGATGTTGATACTTTGCAAATTGCATCCTGAGATGAAAGGCTATTAAATTTGTTCTACATAATGACTTTGTTCGAATTTCAATCACAGGGGGGGAATGTTTAAAAAAAAAAAAAATGGGTCTTTTGAATGAATTTTAATCATAAAATCCGATATTTTGCCTGTAGCTTTATTTCAGATCACTTTTAAGGCTACAAGTGTGAGATTTATACCAGGTGAGCGATGCAGTCCCATTGGGCCTCTTGTTTTGAACAAACTTGGTAGCCCTTCATCCCAGCATGTTACTGGCCAAATATCATCATCTTAGGCCTTTTGGTTATTGAGAAGAAGTTGTTTAAAGGTTTTTAATATGTTTGACCTCTGTGACCTTGAAAATGGGTGAAGGTCATTCACTTGAATAAACTTGGTAACCCTTCATCTGAGCATGATACTGGTCAAACATCATTATCCTATGCCTCTTGGGTTTTCAGGAGAACTTGTTTAAAAGTTTTAATCATATTTGACCCCTGTGACCTTGAAAATGGGCGAAGGTCATTTGTTTGAACAAAAGGTTTTTAGCTCACCTGGCCCAACTTTAAAACGATGACAAACATTTCTAGTCGTGATACACTACATACCTATTATTCTTAACATAAAAAATTCAACACTGCATGAAATTCATATTTTCCCTCATAAATACTGAGTAAAATAACAAGAGGCCCAGTGGGCCTGCATCGCTCACCTGGTATTAATCTCGCACTTAAAAGTGATTTGAAATAAAGCTACAGGCAAAATATCAGTATTTATGACTGTAAGTCAATCAAAAGAAGATGTTAAAAGATTTTAAAACATTTAACCCCTGTGACCTTGAAAGTCTAACAAGGTTGTTAAGTTGAACAAACTTAAAGCCCTTCATTTCAGCATGAAAATTTCCAAATATCACCACCCTAGACCTTTTGCTGATTGAGATTAGGTAATTTAAAGGTTTATACATATTTGACCAAATGTGACCTTGAAAGTGTGTCAATGTCATTCAAATGAAAATTTGATAACCCTTCATTCAAGCATGTAGCTGGCCAAATATCAACATTTTTGGCATTAAGTTATTCCAAAGAGATATTTAAAGGTTTCAAACGTATTTGACCCCTTTGACCTTGAATACAATTAAAGGTCATTGATTTTGAACAAACTTGGTAGCACTTCATCCAAGCATGCTAATGGCCAGATATCATCAATGTGGGCCGTGAGGTTATCCAGAAGATGTGGATTAAAGGTTTGAAACATATTTGACCCCTGCTGTGACCTTGAATATAAGTCAAGGTCATTTATTTGAACAAACTTTGTAGCCCTTTATGCCAGCATGTCACTGGCCAAATATTACTATCTTTGGCATTGAACCATGTGACCTTGAATATCATTTCGGGATCAGTCAACCATGGGAGTAACATTGCCCCTGCTGAGATTGTTAAAATGATATGAACTGCAGCAAAAGTTGATGCAGTAAATGTGAAATACCCCTAAATTACAGGGGTATGTGTAATCAGAAAGAATTTGACAACCAGTGAAGGTACAAATGTGTAGCAAGTGTTCTTGCATGCTTTGCAGTGCGCTGGCTACTAGTGATGTTGTACCATATACTAGTTTGTATACGATTAGTGGAACTCCAGTGTGTGGATGTTGTAAGGTATGGTGGAGGATGCTGGTCCTATGTGGAATGGTGCTACAGAAAGAAATTGTCAAATTCAACATTACTACAAGAAGCCCAGAGGGCCAGTATCGCTCACCTGGATACCTAAGCAATCATGGCAAAATATTCTCCAAATGAGATCTAAGGGAATATGCCAGACCCCAAGGCCAATCCTTGTAGCTTATCTGTATTAGATTTTTCATGCCCAGCAATTTTATGTATGGTTATGGGGTTGGGATCTCAATTGTTTCCAAGCTGTGACTCTGAAACTAGATCCCTAGGGTTGTTGCCAGACCCCAGGATCTAATAACATGACTGCATTTGTCTCTTTTTGCCCATCATTTGTATATATATTTTTGGGGTGGGGATCTCAACAATTTCAAAGTTATGACCCAGGGGTTAGATCTGCAAGGGTGGGGCAGACCATGGGGTCAATTCTAATATCATAACTGAGTTCGTCTCTTTATGCCCAACAATTGTATATACAGTTTTGGGGTGGGGATCTTAACCATTTAGAAGTTATGACCCAGTTAAAGTCTCCAAGGGTGGGCAGTCCCTAAGGCCATCCTGGAAGCATATGTGCATTCGTCTCTTTATACTCAGCAAATGTATATATGGTTATAGGATGGGGGACTCAACTGTTTCCAAGCAGTGACCCAGAAACTAGGTCCCTAGGGGTTTGGTCAGACCCCAGGGTCTATTCTAATATCATGACTGCATTCGTCTCTTTATGCCAAGAATATAGTTTTGGGGTGGGGATCTCAACCATTTCAAAGTTATGACCCAGGGACTATGTCATCAAGGGTGGGGCCAGACCCTAGAGCCATCCTGGAAGCAAATGTGCATTCTTCTCTTTATACTCAGCAGTTGTATATATGGTTATATGATGGGGATCTCAACCATTTCCAAGTAATATTTTTTTTTGGCCCCACCCCTTAGCCCAGGGGGTCAGCCCCACCTTTTGTACAATTTTGAATCCCTGCCTCCGATGAATGCGTTTGATCAAATTTGTTTGATATCCAATGCACAGTTCTACAGAAGAAGTCGTTTGTAGCAATATAGCCGAATTGCCCCCTTTTGGCCCGCCCCTCAGCCCCCTGGGGGGTCAGCCCCACCATTTGTACAATTTTGAATCCCCACCACCTAGGGATGCTTCCAGTCAAATTTAGTTGAATTCCAATTAGTGATCAAGAAGAAGTCGTTTAAAGAAATTGTTGACGTACGGACGCCACGATATGGCATAAGCTCATCTTGGTCCTTCGGTCCAGGTGAGCTTATAATGTGTATTTAATGTGAATGTAACATCTGGGCCCAGTTGTTCAAAGGTGATTAGCTTAATCAATGATTAGCGCAATTTTAAATATTTTTTGTGTCGTAAAACAAAATAATCGAATTAGTTACAACTTTCCATATATCAAATATTTAGATGAGTGAATTTACCTGCAAATTTGTTAGATTTTACAATGTATATTGACGATTATTTAAGGTTGAAAAATTTCGTTAAACAGTGATTAAGCTAACCACCTGAAGAACGACAATTGGGCCCTGATGGTAGTGTTATTACAATATTGATGGTTGAAGCTACTTCTGTGATTGTTTAATGGAAAGTTCATGCTAATACTAGGAGTCTGGTGATAGAAGCTGGTCCAGTGTGGGAACAATTCATCTGGAGGTAGATGTTATTGGTCCTTTAGATGGCAATACATTTGGTAGTCGATAATGGTCCCGTGTGGGGTTTATTGTCTAGCATTGTGTGCATGTTAATCTTATCCGATTTTGACTTACATTATTTTGTGGCTGACACTGACCTTGCAATAGTGTTGTTGTTTAGATGAGCTTCCAGTTTTGTTGTTGGAAGGTACTGTTGGTATTAACGTTAAGGGGATTAGCATCTTGTGTAGTTACTAGGTTTGGTGGTTGAAACTTGTCTTGGGTAGGTACACAAAGATCATATTACTTCCAGTAATATAATGTCTGCATGTTCAACATAATGTCCTTGAT